CAACAGAAAAAGAGGAAGATTAAATTTGAGATGGATTGATTCTATAAAGGAAGCCACAGGATTGAGTTTGCAAGATCTGGGCAAGGCTGTTGAGAATAGGACATTTTTGAGATTACTCATTTATAGTGTCACCATTAATTAGAGGCGACTTGATGGCACACAACAACAAACGGCTGGTAACATACAATTGATTTCAGGTGCTGAAATATGTTTTGTTAGCATTTTCTCATGCTGAATAATAGGAATTTGTCAGCTAGGACTTGCAGCTAAGTAAAAAGCCTGAATTCTTTCCAAAGAGCTGCTGTAAAGTTATATGAAACAAGTGTCTGTTACTCAAAAGAGATTTGGCATGATTGCTCTAAATGGCATCACAGTCACATCAAGATTTAGGAGATGAAACCCTTGATCTTCTTCAGTGTTGTAAGAAAAGGATCTTTTGAAGCAGTGACCTTTTAGTATCGAGTTAAGTCTCGCTGAAGTCTCCTGGGCCCTTTGGCCATTGTGGCTTGCTGTTGCAGTGACTTTGATCACTAGAGTGGCTTTGGAAAGGAATACATCAATTACTAGACCTTTTGGTAGAGACTCTTTTTATAGTTCTACCCAAAGTTCAAGTAACATATGGGGTCAAGTGAGTGTGTTAATTCAGCTGGGACTCTTGACTTCATCTTTTCCTGCCCCAGCCATGATGCTCTTTCTAGTGGGGAAGTGATATAATTCAGTAATGTGGAGACACTATATTTCTCTTAATTGTAGAGCATTTGTGCCAGAATCCTTCACAGAAACCAGCCTTCTGGACCTGTTCTACAAAAGCCCTCTAAGATACAAGCTGGTACATGTCATAAATGTGTGCTAGGACTTTTTCCTACCAGTGTAGCTTGTTTCTATTGCAATCAAGAGTGCTTGAGACCACTGCCTTTTTTGTGCAACTGTACCTGCAAGAAAACTTTTATGTGGCATCTGCATGACTTTTACTACTAAGCAGTGTGCTTTCAGACTTCCAGTGCTTTCCACCCATGTCCAAATACATTCCATCCTGCCTCATTTTCCAGGCTCAATTGCTCTGACTGCTCTCAGTTCCTCATTGTCACACATTTTCAACTTCTGAAGAAGGATTGATGCAAGATTTTGTTTAAACCTGGATTATATTTGAACCTAGAGAATGTTAAAGTGTCCTCTCTTAGCTGGACTGAAGCCTTCCAGCCCCTCGGCATCCTTTCGTAAGAGCTCATAATCTGAGGCCCAAAATATTTTGCTTCCAGCTTCAATGCAAGTGAATTACATTGTTTGATTCTGATAGACTGAGTGAAGGAGAAAAAAAATGACACTGTCGAAATTGGGTTGTAGGGATTGGGGTCTGACCTTTACCAAGATTCAGCAGAGACTGAGAGATCTTTCCCACTACTTGCTCTTATCTTACTCTGATTTTTTTTTCTTTTAACATCTCCAAAGGAACGAATAGCCTCTTAGTCCTTTTGGGGCAAAATTAGGAGTGGGCTAAATGTTAGCCTCTTCTGAATTATCTGAGGCATGACTGTTTTTTTATTCCTGTATCCTGTTTTGCTTCCGTAGTGCTCTTCCAATTCTCATAGGAAATAATCATTCCCTCAAATTGGTTTGGAAGAATTGCGGACTCACGTTTTTTGTTCTAGAACAACTTAGGTAAATTCTGAGTTAATCCAAAGAACTTCTGGAAGCTCAGACATCTCCATTTGGCGAAAGAATAATTCAGAAGTTTTGATGCTTCTCTTTCCTAACCAGTTTTAGTGTTTGCTTGAAAACCAAATAAAGAAGTATCCTCACCTCTTCAAAAACTGGATTTGTGTACTTCTCCATTTCATCAAGTTGGTTATTTATATACAATTCCCTCTCTTGACAAGGAACTTAGATGCTGTGAGCTTAGGTGATAAGTGTTAATGGCTGAATGGACACACTAATTGGCTTTTCAGAGGGTCCTTAATTTCATTTAGGCTTCATTAATTTCCATCCCTTAGGTTGACTTCCTTTCAGGTATCCCAAAATTTGACAGCATCATAATGAGGCTTGTATTTTATAAGGAGATAGGGAGTTGGCTTCAAGAAAGGCAGCGTTTATGTGATTCAGTGTGGAGGTAGTGCTGTATAAAGGAGACTGCCAAAGCTACTGCAATTAAAGAAACTTTAATTTTGTATCAGCAGCAATTTCTGAGTATCATTTTTTATCAGCAGCAGTTTCTGGGTTTCAGAGCTTGTTTCCAATCCTTATTCCACGTATCTCTGTTTCTCCTCTGTTCTTACTTTCTCCCACCTACTCTGTTGTACCATCCCAAAAGCCTACTAGAGGCACATGAAACTAAGAATTAGCAGCAGAAATAGCCTACACTAGGGATATGCATGGTGAAAATGATCATATTGCTTTTGTTTTGGGTTCTAGGGGAGGGACTCATTGGGTTTTTTTTTTATTTTTAATGTGTACATTGGCTCAACCATCTCTGACATCCTCTCCTTGGATGTCGAGCTGGATAAACGCATTGGCAAAGCAGCTACCATGTTCTCTAGACTCACAAAGAGAGTATGGCTCAATAAGAAGCTGACGACACATACCAAGATTCAGGTCTATACAGCCTGTGTCCTGAGCACACTCCTGTACTGCAGTGAGTCCTGGACCCCTTGGGCACGGCAGGAGAGGAAGCTGAACACCTTCCATATGTGTTTCCTCCGACGTATTTTTGGCATCACCTGGCAGGACAAAGTTCCAAACAGAGTAGTCCTAGAATGAGCTGGAATATTCAGCATGTATACATTACTGAAACAGTGACGTCTACGTTGGCTTGGGCACGTCGTGAGAATGGCTGATAGTCGGATTCCAAAGGATCTCCTGTATGGAGATTTAGTGCAGGGAAATTGCCCCAGGGGGAGACCACAGCTGCGATACAAGGATATCTGCAAGCGAGATCTGAAGGCCTTAGGAATAGACCTCAACAGATGGGAAACCCTGACATCTGACCGTTCAGCCTGGAGACAGGCAGTGCATCGTGGCCTCTCCCAATTTGAAGAGACCCTTGTCCAGCAAGCCGAGGCAAAGAGGAAGTCACAAAAGCAGCAAAATCAGAGAGCTGGACAGGGGTCAGATTGTATTTGTCTTCAGTGTGGAAGAGATTGTCACTCTCGAATTGGCCTCTTCAGCCACACTAGACGCTGTTCCAAGTCCTCCATACAGAGCACGTCACCATAGTCTTTCGAGACTGAAGGATGCCTAACCTAACCTAATGTACTTATTTTTTCATTTTCCATTCATGGTTTTTTTAACACCACAGAAGCCATAAAAATCCTTAAGAACTACTCAAAAAAGCAGTAGCAACAATCCATCTATTCTAAAAGCAAGAACAGTAAATGAAAAAATTAGTAGTAGCCCTATGCAGACTCTAGTTTGTAGTCCCACATTTGTCATCGTCATCATCATAATCTTCCTCAAACTCGCAGAAGAGCAAATATTCTGAATTTAGGGTTAACTTTCTGATGACATGGGCTGATGTGAAAACCAGTAGTTTGGGTTTGAAGTTCCTTTACCATTGAGAAAAGTATTCTAGCTTTGGAAAACTCTGAATTTCCTGTCACTATAGCAGCTCATTGCATACTTGAGATGATGGGTGCTGAGGAAACATGCTAATTCAAGAGACAGAAAACCTATGAAAAAGTAATAAATGGTTGTTACTTCCTTTCCTTCCTTTTTATTCCTTTCCTCCCAAGCAGTAGAGTTGTGAGATCTAATTTTGTTGGTGTAAAGGTGAAAATGTGAATTTGTGTTTGAATGAATGAAGATCAGCATGGTTCACAGTTTATCACAGTTTATCTCAGAGTCAATTGTATAAGTAATAAAGTAGGAACGGTTAGAGTCCTTCCTATTACAAAGGCATGCTTGCACAGTGGTGCCTCGCACCGTTCCGGATTAACCCTTGCTGTGTGAAAACATCGCTGTACGGATCAAAAAAAGCCATTGGAACACATTAAACTTAGTTTAATGCGTTCCAATAGTAGCTTTACTCACCGTACAGCAATGTTTCTCCAATGGCCGGCAGCCATTTTCGCGCCCTCCCCTCGCTTAATGAAGGCGCGAAAACGCGCGCGGCCCATTTTGGGGCTTCCGGCGGCCATTTTGAAGCCGCTGAACAGCTGATCGGCGGGTCGCAAAGCGAAGGTCGGTAAGCGAACCACTTACCGCCCTTCGCTCTGCGATTTTGAGCCATAGGGGCCGTCGGTGTGCAATCGCATTTGCGATCGCTAGAACGGCCCCGTTGTGCGGATTCGTCATTCTACGGTGCACTCGTTGTGCGAGGCACCACTGTAATTTCTAAGTTGCAAAAGAATAAAGAGCTATTTATGTTTGCCTTCTTTAGAACACAAAAAAAAGACAAAGCAAAGCTCCAAGAGAGTAAGCAACAGAAGGGGGAACAGGGAAAATATCCAGGTGGATCAACAGGGAAACTCCTTGGAAAAGGAGAGTATGGGGTCAGACCAAAAGTTGACATGCTGAATAGTATCTATTAAGTTCTGTGGTTTTTAAAAACTAATGTGCAGGTTTGGTTTGGTTTTTAATGGTATTCAAATTACATTACAGGGGAGAAATTGGTGTGCTAGTGTTGCTTTAAGAGCATAAGGACCAGTTTTCTGGATCAGGCAAAAGATTTATCTAAGTCCAATATTCTTTTCATTAGCTACCTCTGCAAATTTTCTAGACAGGACAGGGGGGTAGCAACCTGCCCTATTGCTCATCCTCAGCATTTTGAGTTGTTTGATAATCTTGTTTAAAGAAAACGAAAGACAAAGCAGCAACTCTGCGGCTGTGTTAGATACTTGTGTTATCGATTCTGTCTTTTGTACCTTATTTTTGGTACCAGAAAAAAAGGGGGTTGCTTTTTTCTGTCTTTAATTTAGTTAATACACCTGATTATGTATTGTTTCCTTCAAAAAAACAAATGTGCTGACTAATCTGATTATTTATTCTCTCCTCTCCCTGTTTTTCAGAGTTATATTCATGGAAGCAGCCAGGCTCAATTTGTTGCAGAGTCTCATATTATACTGCTCCTGAGTATCCTTCAAATGTTGATGGATGGAACAAGGCAAGCTAACACAAAGTTTTCTATTAAATGAAATTGCAGTGGCACTAAATACCACTGAAGTTCTGAACAGGTATTGCATTTCCTGTCTGTTTACTGTATGATTAAGTTGATGTTCAATATTTTTGCTGTTTATTTGTTTAAAAAAATGATCAATTTTTGGTTGTGGGTTTTTTGGGTTTTTGGCCATGTCCTGAAGGTTGTTCTTCCTGATGTTTCGCCAGTCTCTGTGGAGTGGAGTAGGAACTCTGTCCATGCTCTGTTGCTGTTTGTTGTACTATTTTTTACTCTAATCTGCTAAATAGCAAAGCCAAATACATACACCTGGGGGGCAGGAATGTTTTAGGAGTAGGATCATACTTCCACACTATTAAGGAGCAGGGTGGGTAAGTGGGGCTCATCAGCCATGGAAGGCAGCCCATCTAGGAGAAGGAAAACTCCGATTTCAAACCTCCACTGCCTTGTGGCTATATCCACCAATGGAAAAGGCTTCAGGAGATAACCTTGAGGCAAAATCCAGAGCCGGAATCCCGGAGGCAGTTTGTGTCATTCTGGCAACTCCTGCAACGTCGCTGGAACCAGTTGTATTGGCTCTTGCCTTTCCTTTGGATTTTTCAGTGACATGGAGAGGGGGGATTTGCTGCTTGGGTAACAACCTATCCTCCATATTATTTTACCCAGGTTTCATGCTCTGGAGAGGACACTCCAGCTTTGCATACAGTGTCGAAATAACACGGGAAGTAGCAGTTATTGGTTAAAAGTCTTTGATTGGCGTAGAGCATGATGCCAGGGGCTACTGATAGTGGGAGCGGTCACTGCACCTCACTAGGTAGGGTGAAAGCCGACAAGCGGATCTATAACCCTGCACCATGCAACAATCAGAAGAAAACTTCTGCCCTAATGTTGGGCACCTGGAATGTTCAGACAATGACCCCTGGCTTTTCTGACAACCTGCAGGAAATAGACAA